TGTTCCATGACTTTCCCCAGCACCGAGGTCAAACTAACAGATTGGTTCCTTCATCTGGGCTATCAGTCTTTTATTCAGCTCTTGGTGTTGAAATAGTACCATTTTTAATAAGCAGTTTAGAGATTCTCAGAATCAGATTTTATTTTTTTTTCCATATCCATTCTCCATAGAGATAAATTAACCTTTTATCTTAGAAGGAAGTAAATAGAGACAGCTCGATTGAAAGATTAGAAAAGACACCATTTCAGCCAACTGTTTGCAACATTGGTGACTGTGAGTCAGAATTGCTGGGTCTATCTGAAACTCCTCCGGTTTGTTACTGTATGAGTGTGACAAATCCTTTCCTTTTCTCTCTCTTCAATTTTTCCCTCCCCTATTAATGAACACTTTGTGTTTATTTAGCATTTTACATTTTCAAAGGACCATACAAATGTTATAAAAGCAATGTGATGCACGCTCAACTTACCAGCAGTATTTTTGTTTAAATGTTGCTCATCAGACATCTATCTTTGAAGATTTCCAGTGTCTGATGCTTAAATACAAAAGCTCAAAGTTATACAGATCCAGGTTCAGTGAAGCTACAAAATATAGCTCCTGAATATTTTGTTTACGCCCTAAATTCTGATGTAGATGAAGGGTTCTTCTTTCTTCTCTTGTATGTCTAAAGATCAGCTGGGAGAAAAACTCCAGAGCAAGTCTAGGATTTAAAGTTCCCCAGGCACCAAAGTTTTAGTTAATGACAGTCTTCCAGACCTGGAAAGCAAACCACCAGCTTTCCATGAAATAGCAACTATTCTAGCACTGTTGTGATACAGGGGATGGCAGTCTCTTTACCAATGCTTTGCTCTTGCTGTGGGTACTTAATTTTATTAGCCCTTCATCCTGTGTTTTTGCTTATGCTTTATTCTCTACATTTATTCTTTTGTGTGTGTTTTGTTTTGTTAGACAAATGTGCTACTTAGAGGAAACATTTCATAACCTTTAATTAATATAATCTTTTACTTTCATCACATCTGTGTTTATATTATTACAAGCCTTTTGGGTCTTAACATCCTCTGGTCCAAGCATTAATCGCTTTGGCTGATATATAAATAAATGACTTTGTTTAACTTTAAAAATACTGGCTTGAAAAAAACCACCTTTATCAATGGCATCTTGGAATAACTGCATGTCAAAAAAAGGCAAGGACCAATCATTACTGAGCTTTCTCTAATAAAAACAAAAGTGCAGGGAGTAGTTCAAGATTCTGTGATCCCACTGTATAAAATCGAATCTCCTGGCTGTTGAAAGATGCCTACCTGAACTGAACATGCTACATCTATTTTTTTCTTTTTATTACTCTTATTTACCCTAGCTTGTCATGCTGCACGTACACCCAGCCTTGATATAACAGAGTGAAGCCTCCTAATCTATAATGTGGCAGAATGTTAGCTAGGAGATTTTATAATTAAAAATGGAGGAAGACCAACACCTGATTCTTCTCATGGTTGCACAGGTGCAAATCAATAGTGAAGACAGTACAGTTCCTGACTTAAACTGGAAGAGCAGAGAATTTTGAATTTATGTCTGCGGATAGGAAAAAGAGTAAAATGGCTCACCGAGTATAGGAGTGAAGATCCTAACAGTCATCTTCACAATTAACACAGTTAACACAATTGTATATTATTACCTGTCTCCTAGATACTTTTTTTTTCTCCCATGGAATAAATCAGTGTAGTTCAACTGTGGTAAAGGAAATGACTGAAATTGTTATCAACTTGTGACCCAACATAGGATTTCTAAACTCTCTGACTCAATTTTTAATGTATTTTACTTCCAGTGAGGATTTGAGAATGCTCTTGGGAATAACAGAAGTAAAAATGTTATGAAGACCAGTGAAGTAATATAATTTTGTAAATACATATAATAGCCAAAAATTGTTTACTTATCCTCCTTTATGAGACCCAAGCTTCTGTGACCTCCAATTAATTTACCATTAGCCTGAACACACAATGAACGTGAATGAAGGGGCAATTTGGAATGACATTTATCAGCTCTGGAACTGTCGACTTCTATTATTTCCACAAGGCTTTATAATTCTTGGCTCCAGAGAAGGCTGTGCTGACTTGAATGAAGAAGAACATTCTTACTATCAAGTATAGTTACAACACAGACAGCTTCGGTGCTGGATGCCTATGATGGAAAGAAAACCACTTCCCTCATTTCTAACTTGCATTAAATGAGACCAAAGCAAGTATTCTGTAGTGGACTTGCACAAGATCTTGCGTTCACACCAGGCTAAAAAAAGGAAACAGAAGAACTGAGGAAAGGGAGAAAGAGCAAGAGAAGGGAAGGAAATAAACTTTACAGGGACAGCATAGCCAAGGGTCTGAGTCAAAAGAATGAGACTGAAAAAAAACCTTCCAGCACGAGGATGCAGGTTGGGATCCAAGCTGACTGCAGCTAGTGGGAGCCATTCCCATCAGGGACTGGTTGCTGCTCCACGTGAACTGAAGTGTGGTCCTGGTCAGATTTCCAGTGGGGAGATAACAAGATAGCACACCACAACTATTACTACCATATCTGAAACCAGTCAACTCCTTTTGTTAAGACTTAACAACAGAGGTCAAGAATTGAATATACATGGAAACAAATCCCACTTGGCTTGAACTGAAACAAGTCTGTGGGCAGGTTTGCATTGCTTCTGATACTGTCCTCCAAATAGATGGCTTTGCTTTTCAGGGATCCTTGTCTGGCACAGGGTCGCTGTGTTTAGTTGGTTCATTTGTTAATTTGTACTTAAACGTTTGTGCAGTTATCTTAGTAATGATTTTACAGTGCTATAGCTGCACTGTTTGATTTGTTGGGATTTTTTTTAATTGAAAGCAGTGAAACAGAAGAGCAAGTCCCCTTTCATTTGGCTAGTATGTTAATCTATTTTATTCTAATACAGATGGGTTTGTATTTCTGTAAATAGCAAATAACTTCTTAAAATGTCAAATGCTGGTTGAACAGAGTGATGTTTTTAACCCAAAAGCTTCAGTCTCCTAGAAGATCAACAGAAGTTCTTCTAGGTGTCAAAGTCATTTCTGAGAATACAGAACAGGCTCTCAAGTTGATTTTATGCATTGACTTTTGTCCCCTTTATTTTATGCACAAGTTGCATCTGGGATGGCCTAAATACCACTTTAAGGATGACAGCTTTGTCCACGATGTCTCTGATACGTTTGTCTGCTAAGATTTAATTTATTTGTAACTATGAGTATTACAAATGTGTAGAAATAATTGAATCTAACAGAAGTGCTTTGCTCAAGGCTTGCTTCTCTAAGATAATGGAGAAGTTATATGACAGTGCTTTGCAGAATTGTCCTCTGTTTGTACACCTTCATCCAGAAATAGGCAGCTATAAAATTCCTTCTTTACTGCAGCACACCACCCTCTGTGGAAAAGAATCAGTATTATATGATAGTAGTTACAGATACCGTAGTGGTAACAATAAAACATTCATACATTATGAGTCCGGTTCCAGTCAGCTTTGCATTGCTGTAAGTCAGGAATAATTCTGTTAAAAGTGAATGTACTTACAATTTAGGGAGATCAGAATCAGCTTCTTCAGTGTCTAGAGCTGAAACCCAGTTGTATGATGTAACACTTCCAGTAGCTAAAGGATGGCTTTCATAAGTCACAGTGTCAGAGGAAAGGTAACCTAATATGTGATGGATGGATCTAATACCATATCTATTAGTTCTGGTTATTTAAAAGTCAGTTAAAATCACTGCTGAAATATCCCCCTTGCTGAAAAGTGTTTTCTCCATTCCCTGGTTTTTTCACCTTATTTTATTTTGGTCAAACAAAAATACATGGCTTAGAATTTTAGTGTGCACTGTCTGTTACTCTGTGTAATCAAGCCAGGTTTAGGAATAGTTCCAGTTACCCTGCAAAAAATGTCACCCAATTTTTCTATTTTTGCATAATAAAAATTACTGAAATCTTGTAGTTCAACTCTGCAGAGCATTAAAAAAATATAGGAGCTTATGCAGAATTATCCAGGTTATTGTTTCAAATTTTGTGGAAAGAAAGGGCAGGTTCTTCCTGCTGTCTGGTTGTGGTGGAAGAGATGTATTTATTTTCTATGGTATTTTTGTGCTTGGAATTCTAAGCCTGGGAAGTCCAGAGGAAAGCATAAGTTTAAAAAAAAAAAAAAAAAGAGGGAAAAATAAAAGACCAACAAAAAAACCCAACTAAAAAACCATTCACTCAAATATGTTTGCCCACTTTGGGTGGTGGTAGTTGAATTTTAAGTGAAAATGCTCTTCAGTTCTTATTTAATTCATCCATATCAAGTTTAAAATAAAATAACAAAAACTGTTACTGTAAAATTGCTCTTCATTTTCATCATAGAAGCATGTATCTTGTTGATGTGAATGACTTCTTCAGAGACAATTCTTACATCCAAAGTGCAAATGGAGGATGTTCTCTGATCACGTCATGCTCATTTTCCAGTTTATCAGTCATCTCAGTTCCAAACTGAAATGACAAGATGGTATCACATTTGATCTTATTATATATCATACAATCTTTCGGATTTAGAAGTTCATATGAGCTGAAGACAACTGTCTTTGCTTGGATGGTGGTGTGCCAACAGCAGTTTTTAAATAACGTTCTTTTCTTTTCTGCTTGTCATAGGATGAAGTGGCCCAGCCTCTGAACCTTTCAGCCAAACCCAAGACATCTGATGGCAAGTCTCCCACATCACCCACCTCTCCTCATATGCCAACTCTGAGAATAAATAGTGGGGCCAGTTCACTAAAATCCTCTGTGCCAGCAACATTAGCTAGTCCTTCAGCCAGAGCTAACACAATAGGTAAGCTCAGTTTCATTTGTCCCTCCTTATAATGATTAATAGGTGTTATTAGAAAGCAGGCATTTATCAGTCAATGCCAGAGAGTGGTGTATGAGCTGTCACGGGTTGACCATAATACTACATTTTTTTATATTGGTGAAGAAACTCCCAGAGACTTAGGATTTCAGGAGGAGTGTCTTAACTTTTACAGACTTGGAAAACAGAAGCCTGTGTTATTTCAGATACTGCTTGATCAATAACAGTCAATAGATGCTGTTTGTTTAATGGCATACATTAAAGACAGTGACCTGTCTAATGGTGAGTGTTAAGGACACATGATATTCTACTATGTCATCTAAGACTGATGAACAAACTTTAAAAAAATTCCCTTTCAGTTGAAAATTTACATATGCAAATTGTGGTGGGTTGACACTGGCTGGATGCCAGGTGCTCACCAAAGCTGCTCTATCACTCCCCTCCTAAGCTGGATGGGGAGAGAAAATATAACAAAATTATATAAGCTCGTGGGTCAAGATAAGGACAAGGGGAGATCATTCAGCAATTACAGTCACAGTTAAAAGAGTCTCGACTTGGGGAAATTAAATTAATGTATTAGCAATCAAATCACAGTAAGATAATGAGATCTAAAACTAAATCTTAAAAACATCTTCCCCTCACCCCTCCGTTCTTCCCGAGCTTAATTTTACTCCTGATTTTTTCTGCCTTCTTCCCCCGAGCAGCGCACGGAGACAGGGAATGGGAGTTGCATTCAGTTCATCACACGTTTTCTGTGCCGCTCCTTCCTCCTCAGAAGCAGCTACTTCCTCCTTACACTCTTCCCCTGCTTCAGTGTGAGGTCCCTCCCATGGGAGACAGTTCTCCACAAACTTCTACAATGTGAGTCCTTCCCACAGGCTGCAGTTCATGAACTGCCAGCGTGGGTCCTTTCCATAGAGTACAGTCCTCCAGGAATGGACTGCTTCAGCATGGGTCCTCCAGAGAGTCACAAGTCCTACCAGTAAACCTGCTCCTCCTCCTCCTTCTTCACTGACCTTTGTGTCTGCAGAGTTGTTTCTCTCTCATATTCTGACTCCTCTTGGACAGCAGGTCCTGTGTTGGAGCTGGCTGGCATTGGCTCTGTCGAACATAAGGGGAAGTTTCTAGCACCTCCTCACAGAAACCACCCCTGCAGTCCCCCTGCTACCAAAACCATGCCATGCAAACCCAATATACAAATACGTCTTTGCAAAATTACAGGTTTAATTCTTATTCCACTAAAAAGCTGCATGGAACATTATTTTACTTTGGTCTAATACGCAAAATAATAACCAGGTTCATTCAAAAAAACAAATTTGATGTTCTATCTTGTAAAACATCTTGACTGTCTGTTTTTAACGTTGCTCCAGAAAATAATGTTAATTCTTCCTCCTGTCAAAATTACCTTCTTGCCTAAAGACCACCTAAGTAATAATAGTCCTAGTGGTGATTTTACAAGTCTAAGGTGTTAAATGGACCACTGTGTGTGTACGTAAAATATGTACACACCTCATTCTTCATCCTTCTAAATGAAAAGTTTTATTCCATGAAGTGACTGAATATAACCTGAATTAATATTTCAGGATGTAAATCAGGCTCTGTTTGGGGAAGTAAGGGAGGTAGATTGTTGTATCTTTGCTATTGTGTGTCCTGTTGCTCCTAAAACATCTCCTGCTGCCCAATTTCAGAGATGACACAAACAAAAGTAACCATAGATCAAACGTATCAGAAGCTGTTTCAGTTATATCTCAGTGCCAAGTAGTAAATTTTTTTGTGTCTCTATGGGTCAATCTCCAGCTCTCTGTAGTCCATATTCTACATACACAGACACCAGGAAGACCCATAGTTTTGTCCAAACTTCAAAACAGATCTAGCTCCCACTGCATTACTCTCCCAGTGTGCCTGCATGATTATTGCTAATGTTGATAGTTATGTATATCAGACAAAGAATATGCTTCTGTGCCTTTTAGAAAAGAAAATAACTTTATTTGGTATGACATGTTATATAAATATTTTGTAAATACCACATTGTTAATTCTTAATGCATATGTTATTATTAGGTCTACACTCTTTAACTGTAGTAGGTAATAATATATTTCATTTTTAATTTGCTTGGCCCTACTGCTCTCCATGCACAATGCATTGAGTTTCAATTTTTGCACAGTAATTTTTTTGTCCTTAATAGAGTGAGCATCACATTCAGATGTAGAGTTAAGCATCTGACCTGCATCTCAGTGGCAGGACATCTCTTGTTCTCTCCTCTCCAATCTTCTTTCCCTACACACCTGATATTTTTCATAGGTTTGAGACCCCCGCAATTTACTTCTTTTTACAAAATGCAGATTTTGAAATGCTGTACCTGTAATGAGTGATAATGTAATTGCATAAAAGCTGTGAGGATGAATGGAGCTTTAAAGGTCACTCTTGTAAGAAGAATTAATGTGTTATACCATTAATAAACCATGGAAAACTGTGGAGCAAAAGATAACATACTTAAGTTATTGCTAATGACATAGAGTTCACTGCTGTATATCTCTTAGCTACAAATATAGAAAGTGACTTTTTGAGGTTGCTAAGCAGTATCACTGTGCATACTGTATATATAAGATACGCAGTCTTTAACTGTGGTGCAGGAACTGGACAGACATAGCCTACATCTAACAAAGGTCTATCCTTTAATGAAGAACTAGAAGAATGAAAGGCTTGTGAACACTCTGCAGAATCTTTTCCTGCTAACTGCTAGGTCAGATCCAACCAAAGTTACAGCAAGTAAAACTCATTACTATGTTAAAACCATTCGGTGATCTTAAAAAAGTGTGCATGCAATTTCAAGTCACCCTCTAACAGGTGACAAAAAATGTTGATAGCATTTTTAGCAAAGGGACTAAGATCCCTACAAATGGTAGAGAAACTTTTTACCTAGAGAGATGGATCGCTCCAGGAAAGGTCACTGGGAAGCATGCAGTAATTTGCCGGACAGTAACTTCCACCATTTGATTGACTGGGGCTGTCAATGCATGTCACAATTTGTCTGTCCTAGGTGTGCACAGCCCACTGTGCTGGGATGCAGGTGAGCTGCCTCTTTTCACTGCCAGTATCTACAAATTAAAACCCTTCTCTGAAAGCATTTCTTCAGTCTGCTTGGTTTCCATGGCATGGAGAAATGCTCATGTATTGTTCAGTTGTCTTTGGAGGACATAAACCTACAGCCTCTTGTGATTAAGAGCATAGCTGCATTTGGGCCTACAGATTTGTAGTCCTTTTCTGGATCTATCCTTGTAGTTATAAATTATGCTACAGACTGAGCAGTCACAAATGTCGTGGCTTCATGTATGACTTTAAATCCAAGCATTTCTTTTTGGGAACAGGCATATGTCCATGTACTAAAAACAGAAACAACTTCTCTCTGCCCTTTGCCATTATCTTCAACATCTCTATGCTCGTTTTGCAATCCTTGTAACTAAGTGCATTTCATGTAAGGCAGTTCCCCTCTCTGTCAATAATTCACCTACCCTAAACAACAGTAATTTACATTCAACTCGCTTCTATATTAATCATTTCCCTGCACACCAACATCTTGGCAGCTACTGAAAAACATAAGGAGTGCTTTCTTTTATTCACTGTCATGTCCCAAACTGTCTCAAAGATAGCAGTATTCAGGAAAAGCCAAATAGTCTGGAGAAGGGCATGAATTCCAGTTCCTAGGCAAATTCGGCTGTATTACAGATTGAAAGTACTATACCTAGCCTAATCACGAGCACAACCAGCAGTAATGCTACTGTTTGTTTGTTTGCCTCCTTTTTAATTCATTCTGGCTACATGCACACTTGATCAGTAACAGATGCAAAGTGGGGAAGAAACCAAGCAAGTTAATGAAATGGAGGTAAAAAAAATCAGCTGGCAGCACGTGCTGGTGCAGGTTGTGTCCTTCCTTATGCTGGGAAATCTGGAACTACTGGAATTCCATTGGCTGGGAGTTACTGAACTGGGTCATTTGGTAAAGGCAATGTGGATCAAGTTATTTCATATAAAACTCTCAGGGTTCCTGGGTATTTAGCCAAAAGCTGTTAGCACAATTAACAACAGTCAAACTGCACAGTAACTTTTCTTTCTAGTTTTTGCACGCCAAGGAAGACAGGAATACCAGTCCCATTCTGTCCGCAGTCTGAAAAAGAAAACAATAAAAACCCAAACCAAACTAAAATCCTGACAGCAGCACAGCACTGAACTCATCTGACATCAGCTTCTTCCCTTGAAATGTTTTACGCAGCAAGGCAATGTCCTATGTTTTTGGCAATCACCAGATCAGATAGAAGAGTCTAGCAATACAACAAGGATGTGTAATCTGACATGATTAGACAAGGCTCTTTAGGAACAGAACATTCATAATTGAGACAAAGAAAGAGTATTAATAACACTTTCCTAACGCGGCAGTTAGCCATTTTATATTTCCTTTCTTTAATCTTAGTGTTTTTCAACAAATCATGGGATTTAATAGCATGTTTTGGCAGATTAGAGGATTTATGGCCCAGATGTTTTTTGTTCTAAAAATGGATTAGGGTGTAAAGTTTGCTGGAATCCATGGAACATGTTGAGGCAAGCCGGTCATTTTGTGTGTGATTAGTGCCTGCCTTCTGTCTCATAGTCCCTCCATCTGTCACAATTCACCAATGGATCTGGTTAGATTTAGCCTCATGTCACAAACAGAAGTCCCTTTTCTGGGCAATTTCATATTACAGATTCATTTTATGCTGTTTTTATGCCCTAGTTAAAAGACAGAAAGAAGTGTGCATGTGCGTGCGCGTGTGGCAATGTGGAGAGGGGGAGGGATATTGGTAGATATTAGCCTCTCCTTTAATGTTTGAAACTGGGGCTTGGAGTCTCCCATCAGTATTCTATCCTATGAATCACATGCAGATCATAATAAGTATAATCTACAATACGCTAAAAGAAAAAAATGAGAAAGTGTCACATTTAAAATTAAATAGTATTAGCTGTGCCAGTGATGCTTGTAACATTTTAAAAGGAAATAATTCAGTGACTACTAAGGCTAAGCCCTAGGCTGTGAATTTGCAGCAAAACAGTGGACATTTGACCTACTATTAGCAGCATGAATAGGAGTGGGAATGGAGGTCCATGTAGCTGTGGTTTCTTATACATTTCTGAATGACAGGTGGTGGTGGGGAGCATTCAGTGGATGAGGTTTCTCTTCCCAGACATTATGCATTTCATATCAATAACAAACCTCCACCACCTGTGGTTTATTTTAATGTATTCACAAGTTTTAAGAAGGGGAAGGATGAAGTGGTCTATTTTTAAGAGTTTGGGATTGCTGGCGTGATCAAAGCTTCCCCTAACTCTTATCCAGTTACATCCTGCTGCATACAAACCACAGGGCTAACCTCAGCAGTGTCAGGGAAATATTGAAACTAATGAGATCAAATACCAGGACGATGATTTTGGCACTGAGGCTTCTTATGCTTTCTATCCAGGTGGCTCTATCATGACAGTAACAGAATTACAAAGCATGGATGAGTTTCTAGGCATTATCTTTTAACTCTTTCTCATTAATAATGGTGAGCTATTGGTTTATTTCATCGATGAAAGCTAAATTGTTTTCTTGTAACTTTCTTTTTTAAAGATATCCTTTCTTCTATCACGTCGTCAGGTTATTTAAATGACCATGATGCTGTTACCAAGGCAATCCAGGAGGCCCGGCAGATGAAGGAGCAACTTCGGAGGGAACAACAGGTGCTGGATGGGAAGGTGGCTGTTGTGAATAGCCTCGGTCTCAATAACTGCAGGACAGAAAAGGTGAGCTTCCGAGACTCCCTTCACAACAGGTCAGGAATTGTATTTGGCTCTCCCTATGGATACATAGGTGGTTCTTTCTTTTTTTCCTCCTCTTTCTTGCTCTATTTTCCTCTTCCCCATTTTTAAAGAGAATAGTTCCTTCTTTCAAAAAAAAAAAAAAAGCAAAAAGCAAAATTAAAACCACGACCGAAAGATGACACAAGAGAGAGACCTGGAGGCTCCTGGGGGAGAGTGGGAAGGAGGCAGAGATAGTTAAAGCCCTCACAAGAACTTTGGAGACCACTAATTCTCTGTTCTAGCCTGTCAGCGCATATTATGAGAAGGTGATCTTGGAAATCTCTGGGTCTTAAGTGGAAACCTTGCTTTATGGAAATGCTTACATGTGTTTGTGAGATGAGCTGGATTTGAAAATATTCAGGCTTCTTTAGGAACATAAGCTTTGCTGATAGTCAGGCTCAGCTTCTGGGTGTTTAGCCTTGTGAGGTTGTCATATATGATATTTTGTGACGATTGCAATGTAGCACTGTCATGTCATGTTAGATGACTTAATGAAATTGAAAAAATGGAGAATCGACAACACAAACTGCACTGAGTATTTGCAGTGAAACTTAGTATGGGCCTTACCACCTTCTGCTTTTGAGCTAGCCAGTGAAGCTGTGCTGTAACAAAGTATCGACAAAATGAGTATTCTCTAGTAAAATCTGTACATACTGTAACTTGTGTATACCAAAGAGGTTGTGATTTTCTGTTTTTCTCTGGAAATATCTGATGTCTTTCCATGCACTGCCCTGGCTTATGGAGGATAAATAGACCTGCCAGTCCTTGCTGCCACATTTATAGTGAGCCATCCTTACAATACTGCCACCTAAGATATATATCCAAATTCTTGTCTGCATCTCAACTATCATATGCTTAGCAAGACTTTTGCCTCAGTTCCTCTCTTCCCTGGCAGAATTTTCTGAGATGATACGATCTTCATCATGCAGCACAACACAGGTCACCGTTGTTGCATTTGGTGTAAACTGAATTTTATTGAAACTGCTTCTAGTGGCTTTTCCCCATAAGGCCTTGTGTGAATCACTAAGACAGGCAAATAAATAGAATGAATAAAAATGATCAGCTATTTAGCAGAAACTTGAAAGTCAGTCATCCTAGGAAGTTTGTGAGTCAAACAATATTGTCCAGAATGAGCAGATTGCTAATTTGGACAGCTTTCCATTTTCCCTGTTTTCAGATGGAGTTTGATCAATAAACTGTGAGAAGCCAGCAGTCTGGGTAATGAATGCTAAATGTACGTGTGAGTCTCTCACTACTGTACTTTTTTCACCAGCGTATCTTGGGTGTAAGTGATGTAGAAATTACTCCAATTTGATGCACTTTCCTGAGAGGAAGGGGAAAGAAAAAAGAGGTCAGTGTAATAGGTATCTGGCAGTACATACAGTCTCTCTTAGAAGAATGAGTGTGGGCATGGGGAGAGAGAAAGAAAGAGAGGGATGGAGCATGTTTACAGCATTTCACATAGAAGAGTACCAGAAAGGAAAAGAGAAAAGCAGAGTTTCAGATATAAGAAGAAGTGAGCACAAAGGAATTTATATTCAAATATTTAAGCATTCTTGAAAGGATGCTCGGAGCAGAAATTTCTTTTCTCTGCTCCCCATGTAGAAATGACTTTAACACTCAGCCAGATGCTAATGCAAAGTGACTCAAGCTATTCCTCGCAAGCATAGCTAAATTGCCGTTATTTGTTAAGCGCATTGAATTCAGCTGTGGATACAGCAGTTGGTTGCATTCAGAAAGCATCTGTACACTTTTTTTTCCTTTTTTTTTTTTTTTAATCCTCCAAAGCAGAGAAAACTCTACCTATCTCCCCCCTCTCCTCCCTTGTGCTGTCTGGGAATTGTCAAGTGACAACCGACCAAATCCTTTTGGACAGGAAGCCTTCATCCTGAGTTCTATATACTTGCAAAGCAGGCCTTGTGGTTGGATCAGGAAGCCCATTAAAAGCACTTTGATGGTATGGAAATTCATCTTCATGAAGCACCCAGGCCCCTAAGCAGCATGCTGTTTAGCTGTGGTTACAGATCAGTCATTCACATCGGAGGGCAGTAATTGTGCTGACGGCTTGTTCGGCAATGGAAGTACATAAAATAATCCCAGGCTCTCCACCATGGCATTGCGAGTTAATCTTCTTTAATACAGATCAGCTGTTGTTCTAACACATGACTTTATGCTGGCTCTAGTGACTCTGCACAGCCTTTTGATTAAGTAACAGGAGTGGAACCATCTGCATTCACTTTATTCTGTTACTTTCCTATTGTTGGGATTCTCTTTACCCCTTCTGTTTTCACTTCTCACCCTCAACTCCAGTTGAAGTTTATTTTTCTTTCTAATTCATGCCTCCTGGTGGGCTTGTGGAAGGCTGAGGGGGGAGTTCTTTTACAAGGTATCAAGAAGAAAAAATTGTTTGCTCAACTCAAAATTTTTTTAAAGCAACTGTAGGGCTTGGAGGTTTTGATACAAGAAATGTCAAAACTTTACCAGAGTGCAGTGATTTATTTTATTTTTATTTTTAATTTTTATTTTTAAAGTGGAGACAGGAAAGGACAGAATCAAGCCTGAGCTCTCCTAGACTGTAATGGCATTTGAGTTGCTGTGGTGACCACTTAAGCTACTGAGCACCAGTTAGCTTGTAGGGTCTCCTGAGCTGTCTCTTGCATTTGACTCTACAGAGGAAAAGACGTAGGCTGTAAAGTTTAGGTACTTGTTCTCCTTTCCCAGATATGTTCTGGGCCATCCAGTGACTAGCCAGCTGTTAAGTTCCAATCCAGACAAACACCCCAACTTCTTCAGAGTTTGTTTCTCTTTGATCTAGGACCTTAAAGTTTTCTCTCTTATTAAGAGCAGGATTTGAGAGGAAGACAAATTGAATTGAATTAAATTTTATTCTGTTTTTTTCCCTGTTTTCAAGGGAAAGAAGAAGAGATAGTTGGAAAGGTGGGCAGTGAGAAATAGAGTGTTGCAATGTTACTACTCAGGGTTTCTCTTCAGATGCTCAGGGAACTTAAAGGCAGCCCTCTGAACTTTTGGGTCATCACATTTTCTCACTGCTTGCTTCCTGTCAGGGAGATTTTGAGGTGAGGCATGGAATTAAGAGAGGGTTAGCCTCACGTACCTATGTGTCCGTGGGTATATTCATACTTAGACATGTACATTATGTCTATAGTTACGTACAAAAGAAAGACCTCTTCCTTGCTGCAGTGGCTAGTGTAGTTATGGAGACCTAGGATTCTCTGAGATCTTTAAAGTTTTTTTGTTGCATGACTTGCTGCCGCAGCCTGCCAGTGAAGGTGGGCTCTGTGCAGGTCTGAACACGTGTGTTGGACTCCTGATAGGAATTTATCTGTCAAGGGTAGATGGTCAGGCTCAGGGCTGGGATCAACCTTTGTGAGTCTCTGTTAAAGCTCTTGGGACTTTTCTCCACACATGCACATGGCCTGTTGTCTGGCTTATGTTCCCAGATGGGTTGATCCTTGTGGACAGCCAGACCTGCCAGCTGCAAGGCAGTATTCAGGCAGGAATTTTGTGGAATTGGAGAGGAACTGTATAAAAGGAGACATAAATGAGAAAAGATTTTTTAAAAATGGCTAGGATGATTTGAGTGAGTCACTTTGTGGGCATCTAGCTTGGACCATCTTGAGGGATTTGATTTTCAGAGGATTACAGTAAAAACTATGAGCATCATGATGAACATGGATTTCACTAAAACCTATTTTAATTGCAAATGCAATAAAACATATTTTTACATTACTTTTCTTGGAAACATTTCCATGTATAAATGAGAAGTGTGTGTATATGTTTTTCTGGTTTCTTGGAAACCCAGGAGCATAGTTTTATTTATAATTGTAATCTACAGTTAATTATAGCTTGATATGTAGTATACATAAACAATGTTACCTTTTATGTATTTAGCTGAGAGCGCAGATTGTCATCTAGTGCAAACACCACAATGGGCAACATCAGCAAGTGGACTCCAGTCTATTTGTTCATCCCCGAAACTGCCTGTTCCTCTGCATAGGAGATGTACACAAACACAAAGAGCCAGCCTGTGTGTGCATGCATACAAGCCTACAGTGAACTCTTGGAGAGATGCGCAGTACAAACATGCACTGAGCTAGCCAGTAATTTTCTGACTGTAGTCAGACTGTCAGACATTTGTGCATGTACCCTGGTAAGTGTTAAAAAGGAGGAAGGGGGTCACACAGGGAGCCGTTTGAGCAGCTGTCTGTGTACACTGGTGCAAATGCAGGTACTAGTTTCTGAATGCTGGTGCCTGCTGCTGAGGGTGGCGGTGGCTGGGAGAGCTGTGTCAGTACACACAGCCACACAAGCATTTCAGACGGGTAGGGATGCAGTCACACTTGTAGCATGCTCTGAGATGAGTGCATCCAAATACATGCAGCTCCTGTGCTGAAGTGTTTCTTAACCTGTGATACAAGTTCTCCATGTTATTGCTTGGAGTGTGTCCTTTTAAAAGGCTCTGACATGCACTTGTCTGCTGGGCTGTAACTAAAGAGCCATTTGTAACAATATTTATTCCAGCATTGTAAGCAGGAGCCTACTTATTACTCATGCTTATGAAACACTGGGTTCAGGATGCCTTTCCTCCCATTACCACCCACTTCTCCCCACTCCCACCCCCACCTCTCCCTCTTCCCATTAAGAGAGTGCCAAACATGAAATGACAGTGACCAATGTTGACTTAATGTGGATGTTTAATAATGAAAAAAGTGTGTCAGTTCCAGCGTTAGTTACAAATGGCAGTAAGTATATCGGGTGGCAGCCCTGTAATAATTTTACATCCATCATTCCTTCCTGATGCCTCGCTGGCTGCCTGATGGATGGGGTTAGCAGAGTTAACTCTTAAGAAACTGCTGTGATCTGCTGAGCTGGAATGAATACTGTCTCTGCTCTCTCCCCTCAGAGAGAAGGGGGATATTACG